CCATATACTCTGTTACACCCCTGATGCTTTCTTGTTACAGATATTTAAAGACCCCCTCCAGATATGTTAGAACACAGTAAAAGTACCTTGCTTTGAAAGATTATTATCTGTTATAGACTTTCTACAAACCTGTGCAATTACCTCTCATCTTCTCCCTCAATGAAAATCCACTCTCACTGTATGTGCGCTGGAGATCCGTGCACAGTGTATATTGGACCAGGATTGGCTTAAATCGTCTTATATGTGTACGTTTTGAACTGAGATTTAATGTGAGCACAGGGGAACTTTGCACCTGCAGCAGATGAAAGTAAAAACAGCCTCCACGTGTCAAACTCTGCACATTCATCATTCTGCACAGTGAAGGTCAAACATCACAGTGGAGTCAAAATAACACACACTTGAATACAGGGGGACTTACACTGTTTGACAAAAAAGTATTTTGAGGAGAAAGCGTTTGCTCACAAGTTCTCCCTTTCCTCCATATTGCAATTTCAGTGTGTATGCATGTGAGTGCCCATACGGTTGTGATGTTGCACCACAAAAAAGAAAAAGATTTCACCATGTGTATTGATAGATGTTTTTTTAAGCTTAGTGAAGCCGAAACTTAAGCTGAAAATAGTTTAGTCTGTAACTTGTCATTGGAGGGTCCTCGGGTAACAACCCAATCCCCAGAATTAATGTTTTACTGCAAATCCCAGATACATTTTATATGTAAGTTAGTATGTAGAATATGTTGAAACTTTACATTTCAACAAGGCTATGGTTAACATGTGGTTATATTTGGGCACAAAAAACACTTTCATCGCATTAGGAAAAAAACATGTTTGGGTTTAAATTAAGCCATTTTGGTGACACAGTCATGATGGGAAATGCTGCAGGTGTCTCGCTAAAAACACCCGCTTTTGGTGGCACAGTTACCACTGGAATTGCCACAGATGTCTTGCTAGATAACACCTGCATTTGATGGCACAATTGCAACTTAAAATATTGCAGATGTGTTGCTAAAAGAAACACATGGTTTGAGTGGCCACATTGCTGGAAATGCCTCCAATGTCTTCCTTAAAAAGCACATGGTTTTGGTGGCATAACCACAGCTGGCAATGTAACTGCACCAATATCTCATATCAGTGCTTTTCAAAACAGACTTACAAAGCAACTGGGCTGCCACAATGCCCAATTAAATATAACAAGATTTTTATGATTTTGTAATAATGAAGAAACAACCCAATTCACAAGAACTTGAAAAAAATGACAATGATCCAAGTGAAGGGAAAAAACACAAACTTTATTCTCTTCTTTTTACAAAACATTTCAGAATCAACCTCAATAAATAATTATAAATCTATTACAGACCTTCAAGAAGCAAATGATCAAACTTAAACATGATCAGACACATTTGCTGGAACAGCATCATATAGTGCTAGACTTTAATTTTTTGCTGTTCTAGCACAGTAACAAAAGAAGTGTTAATGCATCAGTAAATGACAAAAACAACACAACAAGAGGTGTTTGACGTACACAGCTTTGTAGAGTGATGAGCACATGAGCGATGCCATGATTGTGAAAGATATGACAATCTAAAAGGCAACTGAGATGTTTGCAAATCAGCCATACTGTACAGTATGACTGACTGCAGGACTTCTATGGTGGCCTGCCTGCACACAACCAGCAGACACCTTAAACCTACAAACACAACTATTAATGTGCACTTTACAGAAGATTTTAAACAACTTTAATGATCAGATTCTGCAGAAAATGAAATGTTTTTATATGACACAATAATAAAAACCTGGTAGCCCTCAATCAGCGATTCCTTAGTTTATTCATCTGAAACACATCTGAATGCAGCCAGATGAGCGCTTATGTACAGATTTACATTCGTAATGTAAATGTGAAGCGATGTATACATGTGAAATGTAAATGTATCAATGTAAAGCAGCCTTGTTTCAACAACAACAGTGTATTACTGACTTGTAACTGATGTATAATCAATTCAAACCAAAAGCCAAGTACCTGAGCCTAAATTGCAATGACGCAAATAATATTCCCCAAACATCATCTCTATAGTTATTACTGTAAGTTATGCATATCCAGGCTTTGGGATTTAGTTGTATTAAGATTAAAAATGGTAGCTACCTGCAATCAGTGAGACACAGCCATCAGATTAACATTATATTACTTATTGGAGTGTCATGTTTGACTGTTAAGTGATTAGTATAAATATCATCTTTTTAAAAATCATATAGCCTATATTTTTGAAGTAATCAACACGCTCTCACTTCCAACTCATCAAATATGGCAGCTTGGTCAGTGGCCCAAAGATTTAAACTATGGTGCTCTAGGTACCCCTCTAGCATCAGTTTTGGATGCTCAGGGACGGCATGTCAATATCAGCTTGTTACATGTAGTGTCTTTTTAAAATAAACCTACCAAAACTACTTAAGGTGTAGGCCTGAAACTACTTTGTTAGGTTTAGAAAATAAGATCATGGGTTTGAGTTAAATAAGTACGTTTGTTACGTGACTTAAATAAGTCAATGACTGTGTTTTGTGGTGTACGTCATGTGACATTATGTCATTATGTTAAATGTGTAATGTAGTTGAAAAAAATAAACATTCACATGAGACACAACAACCTGTTGTTATTCGCAGGTTGTGAAATACCAATGCTGTATCAAACCCCCTCTGCATCTCATACCGACACAAAGGCTTTCCTCTGCGTAAAACATGAAACACGTGGGTAACATTGTCAAACAGTCACAGTTAGTTTCAGGGGACAAAACTACTAGATTAGGTCTTGAAAAAAATCATGTTCTGGGTTAAAATAAGTATGTAACGTGTCGGAAATACATCACATGAGTGACTTAATTATCTCATGTGTCTACCTAAGTTATGTAAGGCTACATTAAAACAAAGTGGACTTTTGTTTTTACACCAGACACTAACAGTGGTCTCCTGGATTAAAGTCCATGTTTGTTAGACCCATTCACCACCACAACCCCTGCCGCCCTACTTAGACATTTTTGCTCTCTATATTACGTTGTTGCGATGGAAGGGTTGACATTATGGTCAGCTGAAAGCACAGTGCATCTCATAGAGATACTAAAGGGTGCCTTGTGCATCAAATTCAGCTGCTGATGGCAACTGACCAAGCTTTTGTATTTAATGCCCTAGGAATGGCATCAAATACAGGGTGAAATGAGAGCTGCAAATACTGATGAGGCCATCTATTGAAATGTTTGAAAACACAAAGGAAAGTCTTTGTTTATATTTGAACTCTAACATAATAGAAAACAATCAGATTACATAACATTGTATGTATCTTGTCTTAAAATTTGCAGATTACAATTTTAAATAGATCATCTATAACAAACATCGTTTTCAGAGTAAACTGCCCAACCTTAAAAAACTGAAAACTTTTTGATAAATAAGCATCTCTACTGTATTCATCATTATGCATCATATTTATTTTACTTATTTAAATGCCAAAAAGACACCGTCAAAGGTGTTTTGATCGAATATGACATGTTATTGATAGCAGTTAAAAACATTTTGAAATACATTCAGCTTCAGTTTGAGCAGGGATGCAGGTTGGGTGTGTGTGTGTGTGTGTGTGTGTGTGTGTGTGTGTGCATTTATTAGTAGCTAAAACATGGTGTAACCAAGGAGATTCTGCACTGCACGTCAACCGCAGAGAGTCATACATAAATGTATATGTAAGCCTTGTACGTATGTAGCTTGATGAGCTGACATAACCTGCAATACCAGCTAGCTCATTGCAGATACATATGTAACATATGTTTCCAATGAGTCATAAATGCTAACCAGAAACACAGGCTTGCAAACAGATGTGAAAAACAGCCCTTATGGCAAATACTGAAACCTTAAATTAAGTGCAAATATATACTAGATGATTCTCAGCTCTTTATATGGCCCATGCCTCTTATACATAGCTGTTATGATGGCAGCATGGATAACATGATTATATTATGTTGGTTGAGCATGGGCGAATAAAGTGGGTTTTATTTGTAGCATGCATTTGGATTTCGCTCTTCACTGCAGTCATTTACTTGGCTTATTTTCATTTTTTTCCACCCAACCTTCTCATCAGGTCTCACATGAAACTCAGAAAGACGGATATTTGTGCATTACAGTGGATGTTTATTGGCCTGCGCCCATGAGGTCATTTCAGATTGGAGTCAGAGTGACACATCCAGATCATAAATAGACGTTCACAGCTTGTTCCGTTCCCCTTCACCGTTCAGTCTCCCTTTCTACCTGTATGATTTTGAAATAACTTGGAAATGCAGTAGGTTTCATGTGTCATGCAGATCAATCTATAGTGTACACACAACACTAAGACAAGCAGGCATATGTCTACAGGCACACAGTAACGCACAGTATAAAATAAACAGGAATAAAATACCTGGTTTAGAGTTGTTTATTGAGCTTTTGTGTGAGTAGCCTAATGCACTGACACAGGTTGTTAAAATATGGAATAAAAATGTGTCAGCATATTAGATTGTGGGGTGGAAGAGGGACAACCTTGGTTTAAATTGTCATACCAGTCTTTAGGTTTACTTTGCATTTACTTTCAGGTGCCTGCAGTGCAAAACAGAAAAGTACAGTGATGTGCTACAACATGAGGTAAAAACAAAATGGTGCAGTGCATGAGATGCCATGAAAGGTACTAGAGTGATAAAAAAGTAAAGCGACCTTTCAGAAACAGAAACAACAGGATAGGTGTGAGGAATCCTAGTAACAGTGCAAATACACGTTTACGGTAAACACTAGAAATCATAAAGGTTGAAGTCACGTAAATATCAGGACAGTCAAATACAGAGAAATAATAAATATACTAGGTGCAATGCCATTTGCTCAAAGGTCATGTGATGCACTGAGGGAAGATGGGTAGAAATTAGAGTGTGCCCATTCCAGTGACTTCAGACGTCAGCCTAGAACAGTTCAGGGGAGGCGGGAGAGGAGGAGGAGCAGGGGGAGGGGAGGGTGGGGAGGCAGACAGAGAAAAAATAAAAATACAGCTGTGAAAGAGGAACTTTCGCTTGAAAGTGAAAGTTATGCTGCAATGGCTGGCTTTGTGCTCTAGTTCTTGTTGGCACCAGTTTGTTTGTTTGTCTTTTCACACAGATTAGATACCATATTTTCATTGTACCCTTTGACATAAAACATCTTAACTTCTAAAAAAAAATATGGTAACATAACCATGCAATACTAACCCACTCATGAAGCCATGCAGTGGACAGAAAAGAATGGTAGTGTAATGAAAAATGTCTAGTGTAGAAATTGCTGTATTCCCTGACAGAGGCATCACATCACTCTTCTCTCTAACAGCATTGCTCAATTGGCAGTCATGTGTTTAGTCCTTTTTTTTTTTCTTTGCTTTTTTTGTTCATTTTACATTTTTTATTCATTTTACTCTTTCCAGACACAATAGGAATTAATAGGTAAATGTATCTAATATAGTAATGACAAAAAGAAACACAATATATATTGTTCCTGGAATGAGGCATGCTAAATAAATACTTGCAGGAATAGTGTGACATTTGGGAAATACACTCTATTTCTTGTAGTAAAATGAGAAGATCAGTACCGCTCTCAAGTCTGCTCATTAAAGTGAGGAGATGGTTAGCTAAGCTTAGCTTAGCATAGCATAGCATAGCATAGCATAAAGAGTGGAAACAGGGGGAAACACCTAACCTGGCTCCGCCTTAAGTTAGCAGACTCACCAACACCAATAAAACTTACTTACAAATCAGAGTTTGTTTATTTCATAGAAAAAAAGACGTGGGACAGAAGGGAAGTAAATGGGTCAAACAAACACAGGACTTTTATTCAGGAACTGCTGTTCATGTCCTGTGTGAAACCAAAAATCAATATGGATGTATTTTAACAATGTTACACAGACTGTCTTAGTATGTGACGTGTGTCATGTGCGATATGGACTTTACGTTTTGTCAGTGATAGATGTACTAATTTTAAGCTCAACTGTGGTCTTTTTTTCTAAGCCTAACCAAGGAGTTTTGTTGCCTTAACCTAATCATGCAGTTTTGGCGCAGCTGTAATGGTTTAACAATGTTGATCACATGTTTAAACCTGCAACCATTACTGTTCATATACAAGCTATTTTATCGTCCACCAATAGGAGCGCCAGTTTAGGAAATTCCCCAGTGGATAGTATTAGATAGTAAGAACAAAAAGGCCTATGAGGCTGTATAGCTTGGAAGACTTTTTACATGGGGCTGTGTGTCAAACTACATCTCTGAGGGGAGCAATGAAGCCTGAAGCCTTGCCTTCAGTGTGAATCAGTTAACTTTAGATGTGCTGCTATGAATTGGGAAGAGTTAGGCTAGCTGTTTCCAACCTTTGCTATGCTAAGCTAAGCTAAGCTAAGCTAATTATCTCCTAGCTTCATATTCAAGTGACAGAGATGAGAGTGGTGTAGATATTCTTATCTAATTCAATGCAATCATATTAATAATCTTAACTGAATATCCCACAATGTCAAACTATTCTTAATGATACACTGGCTACATCCATTTAAAACAAATCCCTGTGTTGTTAGTCTGACTTTTACTATAGGTCACTCACAGGCTAATGTTAAAGTGTTATGTAAAACCAAGGGAGTCTAAGGAAAGTTCCATGGGATAACACGTAGAGGTTAATTGTGAAGCAGTTGTGGTTTTGATGTTAGCTTCTGCAAACAGAGGCAGATTTGGTGTGACTTCAGGATGTAGTCATGGATGAGGGGTCATTCCACATGGCAGCCACGTCCCTGAACCTGCCATTGGAATTGTGGGAAAGCAATAGCCATTAGTTTCTCAGCGGACCGTTGTCCGAAATCCCCTTAAAAGTCAAAGACATAAAGTCCTGTTTGTTGAGTATGTGGGTTCTCCTGCTCTGACACTGATAACATTTGACTTTGAGGTGTGGGTAGCCTGCGGACATCAGTGAGGTTCTGTTTTTTTTTCCAGAGTTGTGGATAACACATTTATTTTCTGTGTTGATAATGAATTAGTGGGTTCAGTGGATAGAGGAGGGAAAAAGAGACAGGGGTGGTAGGGCATGGCAAGAAAATTCAAATGAAAAATATATTCCTCAGTATTTTACTGGTATAAGCAGTATCTTACCTATCCAGACCCTATTTATCTTAGTCCTGGGGTTCAAAATATTTAGTTAGTTGCTTTAAATTAAACAAAACGATTGGCTTATTTGCAAATACACCATCATCTTCGTTTCATCTGATATATTTGTCTTGTTTGTGTTGTTTTACAGATTTATGATGAAGGTTTTGTCCATGAACTTTCCAGACCAATGTTAGCATTAAGCATCTGATGATTCATTTATTGAACATCCAATTTACTAATCTGCAGGTCTTGTTCAAAGGCACAGCTTACTTGTCTCAGTAGTTGGCATTGCTCCCACGAGCCACTTACTTGCAAAGAGTGAACTGACTGAAACTTAATGCATAATAATGTCTACACCTGGGTGGAAATAAGGAACCAAAGTAGAAAGGAAAACCCAAGAATATAACATGAATAGTCACAGTCTTCATGGACCTATCTGTCACTTGTCAAAACCTGACAGATATTGTGCTTTTTCTGGCAACTCATCAAAGTATCAGTGTCATGAATGTCAAACTAAACTACCACGCTTTCTTCTTCTTTTCAAACAGCACAGTCACCGATAGCAGTGTTCTTGGATCTTCACTATATAAATGGACATTCAGGAGTTGCTTTTATCCTTTAGATTGTGCTGGAGCCCAGCAGTTAAAGTTAAAAGGTTACCTGGCATTGATGAGATACTGGGCCAGGCTGATGTTAGCTGGAGTCCCTGTTATGGTGATCTGGCGCTCTGATGAGCCCTCCATGGCGTTTGCAATTTTGATCTGCGCTCCAGACATCTGTCGAATCTCATTTATTTTGGTTCCCTGGCGTCCAATGATGCAGCCTATTAGCTGGGGAAAAGGGCAGAAGTCTTAGAACATGGAGCAAGGAATCCTCCGTGTTGTCTTAATACATTTATACTTAATGCCTTATACATTTGACGTTAAAAGGAAGTTTAATGGGTTATAAAATGGTCTGGATTTCATTTAAATCCCATCATTCAGGAAGTTAAGTTTGATTAATGATAGCATGGTCAATATACCAGCTGAATGGGGGTATTCTGCTGTGCAAACAGTAAGAACTGAAGTTTGCAGGAGTATTGTTGGTAATGATGTCAGTCATTTGATCCTATAATATCAATACCTTTGAAAGAACAGTGCATGCTACCATTTGTAAATATTTTCCTTATCAGTTAATTAACGATCAAAGCTACCATCTACTCTCCTAAACTTTAAGTTAATTGGATCAAGTGTGCTCTGTGACAAATTGTAGGTACTGCACTATGACATAAACCACAGTCTCACATAATTTGAAAAGTACAGAATTTTTAAACATAACTCTTAGTCAGCTGTCTACAGAAAGCATTACTCACATCATTAGGAATGGTGAGTTCATGGGTGCTGGCTGGTGGACTGGCATCCAAACCTGAATTGGGGAGTAATGGGATAAGAAAGGAGATTTGACTTTAAAAAGTCATTTTAAACTTTTAAAGGACTACTTTGACATTTTTGAAAAATATGCTTATTTGCTTCTTCAGATGAGAAGACTGATACCACTCTCTGTATGTTAAATATAAGGCTACATCCAGCAAATGGTTAGCTTACCTTAGCACAGCTAGTGGAAACAGCTAGCCTGGCTCTGTTCAAAGGCAACAAAATCTGCCTACCAGTACAAAGCAGAGGTAAGAACAGTCTCTTGGCCCCAACTTCACATTTAGCATACAAATAAAAGGGTCAGTGTCGATTTTCTCAGCTAGCTCTTCGCTTACAAGGAGCTGTATGCAACAATCAGAGCGCATATAGAGACTGAGCAAGAATTGCTTGAACACGGCTCTGAACATGTAGGTGGCTACTCAGCAGCTAGCAGCTAACAGTGCTAACAGGGCAAGCAAAGCTAATAGCATGAACACTGCTATGGCAATAGTGCTGACAGAGCTAATAGTGATAACTTAGGGGTGGGGGGTTGCAGAGTCTGGGTGTTTTGCTTTCAAACAACACGCGGTCTGGACACCGCAATCAGCAGTATCTGTCGTATGAGCACGCTGCAGAGTGGCGTGGCCAGACCGTCTGCCACACTAAAGAACAGAAAAGCTCAGATTAGTAGAACACACACAAAGGTAGCGAGACTTCATTCTCTGCACAGGACACCATTTTTCCACGAACGCTTTTGCATCTTTTTCAGTTGTTTCCAATGAGGAGAGAGCATATGCAGCAGCATGCAGCCACCAGGTAAAAAGTGGCGCAGCTAGGGTTCACACATTTGATTTGTGAAAAACCGGGACATCTGACGCACAATATAGGGCGATAAACCATATTTGCAAATATATCATGTTAACAGTTGTAGGAATCCCCATTGCCTCCCTTACCTCTATTAGTCCTGATGTGCAGTCGAGCTCATAACACTCAGCAGTCAGATACAGCTATTGCTCTCCTCTTTGAACATTTATGGATCTAAGCTTCACTAACTACACCTGACCATTTACTGAAGTAATAAGACAAGTTATAAATGTTCAAGTAATGTGAGTATGCTGGGTTTATACCATGTCCATTACAAAAACAGGAGCCCATGATCTCCATCCAGTCACACAGACACACACATCAGTGGCTGGAAAATAATTGATCACTGATCATAAAGTCGAAAAACGTACAGAAACCTACGGACTGTTTTTGTCAAATCATTTCCGAGCTTAATCATCCTAATAGCAGCACGAGAGTAGCCTAACTGAGCAGTTGCTAGGTGATAAGGTAAACTTTCGTATTACTGCTACCAATGAAAAAGATGTCTAAACTTATGGCCAATCGTTGCTGTGTGCTACTCATTGTTACCTGTTTACGGACATGGGATTGGATGTCTAAACATAAAGAGGAAAAAGCAGAATAGCAGTAGTAGAATCCGGTTTTATTTGGAACTCTGAAAATTTAAAGTACATTTTCACATTTTCTGGGGCAGTTGCTCAAAAAAGAGAACAATCTGGGAAAACCAGAACTCATGGCAACCCTAGCTGTACCCAGAGACTTTTTTACAGAGTGCTCCAGTTTTGTTTTTTTGTTTTTTATTTTGTATGGCTGCTCCGAGCATGTCCAGTTGAAAATCTCTAAACTTTCCAGAAAGGCACCGGTGACATCACTGCCACTCTTGTATCTACTGTATAATACATGTCAGTCTGGCGCTATCACAACAAAGACAGAAAATCCCATTTGTGGGAGCATATCAGCCGGACACTGAATGTTGCAGGTGAGTGTTGTGCTTTTATCACCATATGTATTGTAAGCCTGTTTTTACCTGTGTAGTCAACCCTCTGTTAATGTAGTGTTACACTAGCTACCTAGCAAACATTAATGTCAAGATATTGTTGCCATAGAAATATACCCACATTTTGCACATTATTTAAAAAAGCACTGGGATAAAGCACTCCCCAGCACCCTGCCACCGCTTTTCTGCTGAGTAAAAACGCTATGTGGACACACATTTACATTGCAAATAGTTGTTTGCTGCTGTATCAATGTTCTGAATGTTGCACACAGCTCATTTAAAGGTGTTGGTAGGCAGATTTTACAACTATTCAGGATAGCTGTAATCGTTTGGCTAAGCTAGGCCTACCGGCTGTTAGATCAACTTTTCATTTAAGTATGTAAACTCATCTCAATGGAACCTTTTAGCTGTAGTTTTTGTTTTTTTTTTTTCTTTTTTGGGGGGCTTTTGTTTTTAACACAATATTTCCTTATTAAATTGTGTGCATGATTTAATGAGATATCAGAAAATCAGCTAAAACACATTTGAATGAGGGAACATTTTTAAACAACTGCTGTTGATTCAATAAATAATTCCATGTATAATGGTAATTGCCACAGACTTTTAGATCAAAGTGGTGAAAAAATATACATATTTCTGAGATGTTCAGTTCATCTTTTGCAGTAAGACATGCAGGACATATTTCAGGAAGAATATTACATTTATATGTACCAAGGTCCCTTTGAAACAGTTCAGTTCAGATGTGGGGGCAGAATTTGTTTGTTATTGCAATATAATGTGGACAACCTTTTTCACTGGAGGTATTCATCTTTAATAGAAAGGAACACAACCTAAAATGTGTTAGAGGAAGGATAAATCCTGTTGCCAAGTGATAATGCAATGCCGAATACATTGTTTAAAGTGAAGCGATTTTCCTTTCTTTTCTTTTCTTTTCTTTTTTGCATTTCACTGGCACAATATGAGACAGAGCCAAGAGAAAAATATATATGAAAAAATCAAAGAAGGAGAGAAACCACAGGGGTCAAGTCATGCTGTGCCAAAAGAGAGATAAGGTGGAAGGTAGGGAAAGAGAAAAATGTTTCTCTGGATGCAAAGAGAAGGAAATATCTAAAAGGGCCTTGTGGGTACGTACCAGGGAAAGCAGGGGTGGTCTGTCCGAGAGGGGTAAAGGGGGTTTGCTGCATAGCCAACTGGTGGAGCTTGGTCAACTGCTGAAGGGTTAGGAGGGAAAGTAGAACTAAGAGGTTACTGTTACACAGGTCACACCAAGAAATGAAACCAACAAAAACTAGAGTGAAGAAACGGTGAGGAGAAGGAGGCCATGACACAGGGTGGTGGAGGACGAAAAAGTAAGAAAAAGAGGTACAGTGATAGAGAGATTGTCTGCCATGGGGTTATGAATTGCTATGTAATTTGATTCTTCTTCTTTTTTTTTTTTTTTAGCAAATTCCTTGTAAATTTCACATACATCAATGTGTTTTTTTTTTTTTTTAATTTACAAGATTGAGAGACAAACAACTCCACTCATGAGCACATTAACCAAATGCAGGGAATCACCGAATTCCCATTTGCCCCCTCAGTTATCATGTGTCCTTCTAACTGGCACTTGTGACTCAGAACTGAGAACCTTTGGTTTTACATGCCTGTCAGAGCAGCCACTCTACCCCCCCTGACATGGTCACAGGATGTCCATCCCCTGCTGTGGATCATTTCCATGGGGAACGGGGGAAGACGGATGCTTTCAAGCCTTCTTCTCCTTTTAAGAGGAGTTTTAATGAGGGTGGAAGAGGGTGTCAAGCCTGCACTTGAGCGATTGTACCGTCAACCACCACCTCCAGCGGCATCAATCATTGCCCAACTTTGAATTAGTGGATCTGACACAGGGTAGCTCATGAGATGCTCTTATGACAAGGACAGATGAAGGCAGATTATTAATGGAGACTAGATGGTCCACTGGAATTAAAGGGGTGTCTACATCAAAACTGCCATTACTGTCTTTGCCTTTATCGTTATCACCAATAGTCACCATTTTTTTTATCAACCACATCTGTGAAGAGTTCTTTCAAGGGCTGAGCTGCAGTCCACCCTCTAACCAAAAGGACAGAGAATTGAAGGACACGATTTATGACTTGTGTCTAAATAACTTTAAAGAGCTGCTGTGTCCAGGTATGAAAGCCGAGAACGGCCATAATTACAATTATTTTTTTAATTCCATTATCTCAAGATCACAAGTTAATTATTTTGTTTTCTCAAGATATCAAACCATATTTTCTCATTTAGTTATGCCAATAATTGAGAAAACAAAAGGCAGATTTCTCGAGATAATTAGATAATTTATCTTGAAAACATGACCTTTTTTCTTGAGATCAGGGACTAATTATTGAGAACCAAAAAATGTTTACCTGCTCCATTTGATCACACCTGATTTCAGCCTTCAAGATCACTGTCATAACTGAACAGTAAGTCAATGCAAAAAGGTGTAGTTTTGTTTATCTTAAATCAGTTGCTTAAGTTAAGACATTATCTGTGCATGCTGGCATGGCACCCCTGATCTCTGATACACCATAGACTGTATCAAAATAATGGATGTAGGCACGAATTGGCTTGTGGACTGCCATTTTAAAGCCTTGAGTTTGGCATTTTGGCCATTGCCATCTTGTTTTGTGGAGCCATAACTGACAATGTTTGGATGAGAACTGCGCCTGCCCTTAATTATGCATAACTTTAGGCCTTTATAAAATTTAAATGGGTGAGTTGCACAAAAATGTCCCTTCTGTACGGTTGTATAAAAAGGGAAGTTAGTTACAGAACAAACTTTTTTATACCAGGCTGTAAACATGTTTATTATTGCTGTAAAGTTGGGCATTTTAACATGGGGCTCTATGGGGACTGACTCGGTTTTGGAGCCAGCCTCATGTGGCCACTCAAGGAACTGCAGTTTTTGGCACTTACGTATTGGCTTCATTTTTCAGCCCCGGAGATTCACACTTGTGGTCAACATAAAGTAATATGAAGAAACAACTTTTCATTTTTTGTTTTTTGATATCAGGATGATTATTGCCTATTTTCGAGATATGATCTAGAAAAAACAACAACAGAAAAAATTTTTTGCAAGCACAGCCATTTTTTTCTTTTGTGTCCATATAATAAAATTGCTGCTGCTATTTTTGTAAGCTGAATTCTTGATTAAGTTAGTTACTCACATCTGGGTGTGGTATGGCGTACTGTCCCTGAATTGTATAGGCCTGTAAAGACAAACATGACAGATTGAAAATTTTAGCATCTCATTTACAATAAGAAGGGTCGCACATAAAACAGATCAAATAAACTGTCTTTACACTTTTATCTCAAACAATCATAATAATATTTCTATTGCAAATATATCTTATGATTTAAAAAAACAGTAGGGGATGATCTTGATCTTGTTAATCATATTCATCATTACCACATTCAAGTGTGAAATGCAATGAGACTTTGTACATGCAAGTCTTAGAAATCAGTGTGTTTCTATGATAAATGAATGCAAAATGAACCACTTCTGAGTGTCAGCCAAGATCATGTCCTATACAGTGTAGTGCACTGAATGCAAAAACAGGATTAGTATGTTCACTGAGGACACTTCATTATCTGAGAACAAGTGCAAATATTTCATAATATACACATAGTGGCCACCAGTCATCTGAAGAACAGTTATTGTAAATGCTGCTTCATAATTCTACACCTTCAGTTGTCCTGTGTAATTTTTTATTCATGCATTCAATCCTTCAAAGAAAAAGATGCAATCCAACATGACACCATTAAAAACTGCAGCTTTGGAAATAACCATAATGTTGTATGAACACACCGAACGGAACATTCTAAGCTTCATAACAGTAGTATTTATTCAGGGGTCTGTGTTATATTGCAAAGGTGTATCTCTGTGTATTTCTGTGTAAACCTGTGTGTGTGTTCACTCTTCAAAATTTTCCAAAGCAGGCTTGTGTATTATGTTGTCTGCTGAAGACTTCCATTGTGTCTTACGTTCCATTTAATGTCCACTGGGTATAATTTCCCGACAAAAAGAAAAGCAACCAAATTGGAGTCATTACAAGTGGTTATGTGAAGTGTTTCGCAAATTTACCTCTTTTGTTTGCCACATTTTCAAATGCATTCAACGGCTTTTAGCCCAGATCTGCAACTAAATTATCTATATTAGCTGGACAGACATTAGTGTTTGCTGTGCATTTTGCTGACACTAATGTCATTGTTGCTGAATCAAACATTGTGGTGCGACTTATAGCTCCCTACCTCCCTCACTGCACTCTGACTGTTGATAGGAGACAGCACATGCACTGCATACTCTAGTACCAAAGTCACATTTGTTACATACATCAAACCAAGCCTGGCCTACCTCCCTAGGTTTCTAGCTGTTTAATAATGTCACACTACTTCTGCTTTTGCTACTGAGAGTGTGTGGGCAGATTAGCATGACTAAAAGCGGTCGTTTGTCAGGAAAATGTAAACACAGGGCATTTTAGCGGTTTAACAAACAACCAACGCTGTCATTTTTCTAAAGAGGACAGCCTCATTTGTAAAAGCGTTGCAGTGGCATGTACATGTGCACACAGAAAGTAGAAAGGCTTGCAGGAACAGGCAGGGGCTGATGCTGCAGTAAAAGTGTCAGGTTGGCTGTAGGCACAAACAAGCTAGAGCTAGCTCAGCTCTTACCTGGCCCCCAGAAAAAATGACCGGGGTGGAGGCGGGCTTTGGGCGATAAGGGATGGTGGCACCTTTTGGTGGAGACTAAGAGAAAGGGAAAAGAGAAGAGTGTCAGCATGTTCTACTTGAAAACGACAAATGCTCATTCAACATTCTGAGAAATGTGCTTATTCCCTCATGCTTACATCTGTTTGCCAAATAGGCCATGTTAGCTTAGCTTAATTTAGCTTAGCTTATTTTAACATAACATTCCACCTACCAGCGCCTCTAATGTTTACAAAGTAACAGATATTTTTTTTTACCTTTGGACAGAGCCAGGCTAGCTGTTTCCCCCTGTTTCTAGTTTTTATGCTAAGCTAAGCTAAATGTCTACTGGCAGTAGATTCATATTTAACAAACAGATATGAGAATGGGATTGATCACTTGGAATACATTGGATATTAATGTGGATAGATCTTGATGTTAGCACACACTGTGTACATTCATTCATTCATTCATCTAACTGCTTCATCCTCTTGAGGGTCGTGGGGGGGCTGGAGCCTATCCCAGCTGACATCGGGCGAGAGGCAGGGTACACCCTGGACAGGTCGCCAGACTATCACAGGGCTGACACATAGAGACAAACAGCCATTCACACTCACATTCACACCTACGGACAATTTAGAGTTATCAATTAACCTAGTTCCCAATCTGCATGTCTTTGGACTGTGGGGACGGGGAGAACATGCAAACTCCGCACAGAAGGGCTCCCACGCCCGGGATCGAACCGGCAACCCTCTTGCTGTGAGGCGACAGTGCTAACCACCACACCACCATGCCGCCCCCACTGTGTACATAATACTCCCATACACAATTTCTTTGTTTCTGAACATTATTTGCTTGTAAATTATTTTGGATTACTAGAGAGCTCCTTAAGTCCTGAAAGGTGACATTTTTTGTGCACAAATTAATTATCTTGTGGGAACAAGTTAATGAACTTGTAGAAACAAGATACTTTCTTAGGAAAGTATAAGATAATTAACTTGCTCCCACAAGATAATAACTGGTGTGCACAGAATAATAAAAATCTAGAAATCTAACCTTTTGGGACTTCGGGGCTCCAAAGCTTATCGTTTATATTAATGTAGGAATATGCATTTGATTTGTGTGCATTTTTCTTTTTTAAATAAATTTATTCATATTAAGGATGCCCCAATCAAGTAGCCTGGAAATCCAGACTCAAATCTAGAAAGATTTTGAGTCTTCTTGGCTTTTTGCTCTCGCAGCTTTTGTTGCACTTTGCAGTAGCATGGTGAGTGTGGTTGTCTTTGGTTCTGAACCACTTTGCCAGTGGTGAAACACAATGGTCCATAAATGCAAGATACTTTCACAGTGAGCTGAGATATAATGAGAGTTCATAATTTTGGTAAAAAAAACATAAATAAAAACAGTCTCACATTGCATTTTTGTCGGTTATGGCGTATTGTGTTTTGCTGCGGGCATGGCTCAGCTGCTGCCCTTACAAACACACACAAGCACAGCAGAGTGGAGGAGAAAAGGAGAGCTGAGTGGGAGATGGCTGAGCAAAGTGTGTCTTTGCATGAAAGCTTTGCGAGTAAAAACACCTGTGTGACAGCTGACGTGAAACAAAGGATCATTTCCACTGTATAACTTAATATAGCCAATCCTGATCAGTTAAAAAATTCCTTGATCAGCCCCGATCCCGATCTCTGAGATCGGATTGGGACATCCCTAATTTATATATGTATTAATTTGTATTTGTATAAGTTACTTATTCAATATATATGAGTCATTTGTTGACCAAAAAGTGATATTGTTTTTATATATATTTAAATAAAATACTAGTTACCAAAAAAAGAGAGAATGTGGTATGTTTAGTTGAGAATTGATTGTAAAAACAATAATCCTTATGGCAAAAATACAGCACAACATTCATTCATTTACTTGGTGTTTCTCATGTATTCACTCATCACATTTCTCAAGGTGCTTCATATGTATATTGCATCAGGCTGCATCAGAGTAACAGAAGAAAAATCATAAACAACACTTTGTCTTGGTAACTTTGTGTTCTTCCTGTGAGAAATGTTTTAATTTGCTGACAGCTTTTGGATGTTGAAATGTTGTTCATGAAAACAAAAAGGAGCCATGGGGCTCAGAGGTATGAATGGTCTCTATTCAGAGATTAGACGAATACAAAGACCCAGCACATGTCATGCCTGATCATCACAGATTAAATGCATCACCACAACTCAATTCTAACTCACAAATGCGGCAGATTTTGTCTCTAAATCAGCAGGGAGGTGAATTCAGCGAGAAGGCAGGGGAGTTCCAGTTTGCAAACTTACTATAATGACACAGAGTTATTGATTCGTGCTGTGCCACAGCAACAAGGCTGTTCAAGACAGTGGAGAGGGCTTAATCAGATTTCCTCTGTAGCTGCTGCGCTGTTGAGGGAGGAGTATCCACTTAGGTGTGTGCTTTAAATAAAACATCAAGAAACAGCAACTGTGTTCTTCATGTTACAAAAACAGGCTTGGGGTTTCCTGACAGTTCTCCTGGATAGTCAAAAGCAAAAATGCTTAAGTGGTAATTATAAACTGCTACCTTTAAACTCTAATGAGATAATTTCTCTCTGTATTTAAGTAGTTGCATCACAAATAATTCCAGAATTTTCAAAGCCTATCCAGATGTACAAAAAAATGGACAAAGGTTGGCACGACCTGCCCTCTCAGGGCCTCAATCAGGCAGGCAGATTGCTTGCTGAGTTGACATTTATGGACAACAACGTCTGACCCAGACAAAGCCTTACTTGTATTTCATCTTATCATTCCTCCTGCAAATTTAAATCACTGAGGCCCATTCAAAAATTGATACCTAAAAAAATGTCTCACCACAAGCAGTGAATCCAAGCACATTCAAAGACATGGTTTCATTTCTTGCCAGTATTACAAAACAACTGTTCAATACTGACTTCTTCTGTGAGAACACATAACTGGACTTAAAATGAGCACTTGAATTACAGCTGTTTTGCTGCATCTGGATATACTCTACCTCCAGCATGACCACACAGATCTGTTTGACACATTGGATGATGGCTTCTGGGGTTCCAGAGATTGTCACTGCACGCTCTGTGGAGTTGGGCAGCATGTCTCCTGCCACCTGAACCTGGGCCCCTGTGGACTGGAGTAGAGTAAGGGTCTTTGAGGGACTGTGTTGACAGAATTCAATTCTAAGTTACACAGGCTGCGCTTAATGATTTTGGTGAGTACAAACAGCTGCCCTGGCCTCTATATATTGAAAAGGTAAAACTTTCTTGAGGCTCTGACATCCAATATCACAACTGGGTGTGATGTGGTGATGTGATGTCTTGTTGTGAGGCGACAATGCTAACCACCACACCACCGTGCCACCTGATCATAGATGCATGTGTATTTATTCCTAACATATATTATGCCCCTCCCACCCCCCAAACTTCCTGCACCTGGGGGCAATCACCTGACTTTGCTCCCATATGCTTGTAGACCCTATAGAGGACAACGCCTGTGTGAGATAGAACAAATGTTATGCATTGTAGCTCTACTTCTATAAGCACAGATAGAGCTCTCTAGCCAGGTGGCCAAACTTTTTTGATGTATGTCACATTCAGAAAAAGACAAAGAGTCCACAGTAAAAATAGTACATGCATAGTTTTCAACAAGTTACACTTTCCATATGCAAAATCATTATGCAAAACTGTTTTGACATTACTGTAGTTTATTCACTGTAAAACCCAATTGCTCACTCAATTTAATTTTTAGAAACATTTTTTTTTTAAAAAAACAGCATGCACTCAAAACTTCTGACAGGAATTTTATGTCAGTTAAACATTACTTTTTTTTTTTATTATTTTTTATTTATTTCATTATAACCCATTAGAACCAGTGTGAAACACATAAACACTAATCACTGTGTAATGGGTAATTTAAGTGACTTAGAACACATTTAAAGACAGTTTTCTTTGGCTAATGGCCTTAAACATATTGTCCCATGGCATGCTGGGAAACTCCACCCATTTAGCCCAACGCACCACAATATGTTAAGTGCACAATGATAGTGTTGTCTATTGGGCTTAAACTAATTAGACGAAAGGGCATTATAAACAGAGGAAAAAAACCAACAGTCAAAGTAACTCAAAAATTGATGACGTTACATAAAAAACATGTCAAGCACACAAGGGATGAGTTTTTGTGTCTAGTGAACATAAAGTTTTTAAGTCATTTGACAATCCAGAGAATTTGTGTAGACTACATTAAAAATGTGTGTCACAGGTGGATTGGGGTTTACTGTGTTGGTGTGACCTCATATTACAAAAAGTATTTCTCTATCATCCGTTTTGCAGGTCCACTGCCATGTTAACTGAGGTAAATGTTTTTATCAACTAGTAATCAATAATTAAATGAAGTAGTGATATCTAGTGTTTAAATTAGGAAGTACAAAGGCAGGGCTTGCTAGCAGTAGTTTGTGAAGATGACAGCGACATTCTGTTTTAACTAAGTTGTGCACATTACATGCAGTTCAGTTTACTGGAAATATTCTCAAGCCATATTCTGATTTTTTTATTTTTATGTTTTTGCTGCAGGCCATTTAAAAATGGGCAGTGGGCCGCTGTTGGCCTGCAGGGTGTAGTTTGGCCATCCCTGTCCTTATGAGTATTGTTGTATTGTTGTTATTGTTGTTCTGTCCTGATGGTGACCAAATAGGTTAAAAGATTATTGTGAGTCCATCGAGAGTTGAATGGGAAAAGCCTGTTACAGGTCATTGCCTGTGCAGATTAAACTGGTGCTGCAATGCTGCTACAAGGTCAGAATTTTGTGCTGAAAGTGTAGTTGTGACGTTATCAAAGAGAACATTTGCCACCTTTTAAGTGGATGTATAATCAGTGTTGAGGGTAAATGAAGTCAAGTGAAGCAATAATTTCCCCAGAGCGTGCTATATTGACAGAAAAGGTCAAGTTTTTCTGCTCATGGAGCCATGCTGCCAGTGCCTACATGTACCAGCATGCATTGTACCTGAGCTACTGATGCCAAGCCAAAACATAGTGTTGCCTGCTTATGCAGGTAATAAAATAAAAACATGGAAGCTCTATAGTCAGAACTTACAGGGTCCCAGAGATAACATTTTTCATCATGTATGCACAAAATAATACATATAAGGTGGCAAATTTTCACTTCCAATTGCAAAAAGGCAAAAAAAATGAAAAGACCTACAGCGATTTATTCTATGTTATCCAAAAAAACATGTTTCATATCATACCTCTCTCATTTCTTTTATTTTGGAGCCTCCTTTACCTATGAGGGAGCCACACTGGCTGGCTGGCACTACAAGCCTTAAGGTGACAGGGGGCTTGCTGGTTGCTGGGCTGTTGCTCATGGAATTGATTATGTCCTAGAAAACAAGATCATACATTTCATTTTGCAGTGGTCATATTTTCCTCAGTGTGACCCAAACAAATCAATAATGCTTTTGTTGGTTATGACGATCCATATATATCCATTTACAAACTTAAGAGTCAGTGCAAATGTGCTGCAAAAACACCTGTGTTTCAATGATTCTTTCATATCTGGTGAACCAGCAGCTGTCTCTGGCTTTGTCAATAAGTAAGAAGGGCATCGTTCTGGCAGGCCAGATTTCACACAGGTCACTACGGACACAGCAGTGGATTTCCTCTTCCAGTTCCAGTCACAGTACTTAAGTATATCAATTAGATAAATGGCATCAAGGACAAGAACAGAAGAAACGGTTGCTGACGCAGTTTAAATTAACCTATTACAGCCATGCAATACAAATATCTACCACAATAAATGTGTGCCTTAAACTAATCTACTGTACGTAAGTGCACTATCAGAAAATCCTGTGTTCAGTTTTTAATTTACTACAGCAACTGGAGATTGATTTTGAATGAGTAGAGATAAAGAGAGGTAAAAGGACAGTGCATGTGTGTTGTGGGCAATACTGCTGCCACAGTCTTATCGTACCTCCTCAAATTTGTAGGCGATCATAGCAAAAGCTTTGAAGATGGTGTCTGTTGGTCCGGTAATGGTGACAATCCTCTCTGGACAGTTCCCCTCAGAAATATTGATTCGTGCCCCGCTCTGGAAAAACAACATTCTGTCATTGAGGTCAATATAGCTGATGTAAGATCCAGGCATCCAGGAATGGATCCATACCACATTTGAATTATCTACGAATCACTGATGAAGTTACATGAATTCGTCATTTATTTGAAGCAGTTTGCATTGTCTATGGAACTTTAAGTTAATCGCATTGTGACTTGTTTAGGAAAATGTACACATAATTATCATTAAGTGATTTTGGTGCTTTTTGAGACTGAAACTAACCTCTTCTCGCATCTTTTTTACTGTTTCCCCCTTCTGTGAAGAAGTAAATTACAATTTAAAATTAAAAAAAGTGGTTTGATATTTGTATTTTTTCCATATAAGCATGTGCTCTGTAATAAAAATAACATACCTTTCCAATTATGCTTCCAACCTCCTGCAATAAAAAACAAACGAGAAAAAACATGGATTTTTTAAAATGATTAATTAAAGAATCATCTGGATAAATGTGTAGTAATAAAACTGCTTTGTTGTTGTTGTTATTCCCGGACCAGGTGCAAACAGTACAGGGGCATGCGGAGGTTTCACAGCTGCGAGGCGGTGTTGAGGGCCACACTTTCCATATGCATGTAATCACTCTTCATGAGCTTGGTGTGACACAGTGGAGAAAGGGCAGAGGGACAGCATTGGCTGCAAGCGTCAACACTCCCTGACCTCTCCTCGGTGACTGCCAGAGTTACATCCATCGTGACGTTAAACCTGCGGGCTAGTAGCTGAGCGGTGCCAGGTTCTTCCTTGAGCATTCATTTATATTTATCAAGTGCTATGAAAAGTCACACAGCAGAAACACTTTGTTGTTGCCCTCAAATATTCTTTGAGAAATGTGTTCTTCATTCAGGCATGAAGAACTTCAACTCCACTCTTTTGATAAAACAATCGACACTTTTACTCCAAAATAATTTCCCAATACTACCTTTGCTACATGCTGCACAATATTCATTTCTGTACCTCATGTTCCTGCTCTACTCGTCATTTAATTAGGCATGATTTAGTTTATTGTACAATGGGAGACATGTCCACCCGCAAACATGTCATGTCGTCTCTTTCCATGCATTCAGCAACTTTGTTACAACACATCACTCACATCTGACAATCTCATCAACACTTAGTTGCAGTAAATCCAGTCAGATGTAAATTTTTACTGCTAAAGTAATGCTTAAAGGGACAGTTCACCCCAAAATCAAAAGTACATTTTTGCCCTCTTACCTGTAGTACTGTTTGTAAGTCTAGATGTTTTGGTTTGAGTTGCAGAGTGTTGGAGATATCAGCCTTCTCTCACTTATAATGGTAGTATATGGCACTCGGTGTGTGGTGCTCAAAGCGCCAAAATAATAGATCTGAAAAACTCAACAGCAATGTCTCTTTCCAGAAATCATGACCCTGTTGCTAAAAATAATCCACAGACCTTGTTGTGAGCAGTTTCATGTAGAAACCTTTTTCTTTCTACCAAACTACATCCACGAACTGTATCACCACACAGAAGGGAGCATGCATCTCCTGCTAACTAACCTTGCACCACTGACCTAGCTAACATTACAGCTCAGTCGAGGAGGCGCCATTAATGTTTACATCTTGCACTGTCAAGAGCACTAGCCTCTCGGCCATGAATTGATGCAAGCTTCCTTACATGTGGTGATATGGTTGCTAGTTGCAGTTTGGTAAAAAGAAAATAGTTCCTACATGAGACTGCTCACAACAAGGCCTGTGGATTATCTTGAGTAACTGGGTCATGATTTCTGCATTTGCTGTTGAGTTTTTAAAGTGTACTTTTTTGGTGGTTTGAGCACCACACAGTCGAGTGCCATCTAGTTTAATTATATTGGAGAGAAGGCAGACATCTCTACTGCTGATATCTCCAACACTCAGCAACTCACACCAAAACAATAATTAGTTAAATAGCACGACAGGTAAGAGGAAACTTTTTTTTTTTTGGGATGAAAGGTCCCTCTCATTACTTGAGAAACTCACAGCCAAAACTAAGAAAATAACATGACTCTAAAAAATCAACACATTGCTGTCCTGCAGAAACCAGTTCTGCTCATACAAAGTGCAGAGAAGGGTCACCCAGGACACTACATACTCCATCTTCAGGGACACATGTCTGCCACAAAGTCTTTCAGACGTTCTTGTGCCACCAACACTATGAAAGAGTGGGAATGCCGGGCGTCGGTGGCTTAGTGGTAGAGCAGGAGCCCCATGTACAAGGCTGTTGCCGCAGCAGCCCGGGTTCGACTCCAGCCTGTGGCCCTTTGCTGCATGTCACTCCCTCTCTCTCTCCCCCTTTCACACTTGTCTGTCCTATCAAATAAAGTTAAAAATGCCCCAAAAATATCTTTAAAAAAAAAAAAAGAGTGGGAATGTCCTCGTTAAGCAGTTGCACCTGATAGACCATTCAAGTACCTCAGCCAGCCCAACCAAATGGCTGCTCAGTTTGAGGGGGAAGACCCTTCTGCTGCTGTGGGCAAAAGAGCCAGACCGGGGTCAAGCTGCCAAAGTCCTCCCCCATACGCCATCTGCTGGCAGGCTCTGGGGCCTGACTGGCTGCAGGGTTATTCAAACTATCACTTGGTCACTGGTGTCTCAAGCTCCTGCATGGGTAACCATGCAGCACTGGAATATTTGGCTGTAGACTGCTTGGCAAGCTTTGCAAAGACTTTGGCTCAAGGCTTTGTGGCGCATACCTTCATCAACATGATCAGTTCAGAGGAGATGTGTGGTGTGGGTTTCCAATTACATAGCAGCCAGCAGACCTCCCTTATGACTGAGGCATTAAAACAGTCATCCTGTTTCACTCAGACAATGCTCTTTAACAAACTCGTCAAAACGTTTATGACGACTCAGAATAAGTGAAGACAGTTGCTTGCAGCTATTAGCTATCACAAAATTGTTGACCATAGTTTTAACACTTTACTGTAAGGGCAGGAAAGCAATGGCCATGTTAACCGGGAGTGATGAATGTTAACCAGCAGGCCAACATACACACAAACACACACCAACTACAACCAGCTCTGAAAGAGTAGATGGGGAGAAGAAGGGAGGGAGAGTACGCTACATATAAGTGCCTGAAAAAGCAATGCTGGTGCCCACTTAGACTGTGCCCTGGGAAACCTGAAACCAATAAGACAAGAACACACTGAGCAGCATCTAAGGAAGCCTGTCACTCTTTGAGTCTGGAAGTCTGCTTGTGAGGGCTAATCAACTATCCTGATTGCAGAGTCTCCATCAGGTCAAGCCAGTGCCGGAAGCTGGACAGTGGCACCAGAGGATAAAAGACAGCTGCTGCCCAGCCACCAAGATTTTGTTATGCAGGGAAACAACAATCGGTAGAAGAGAGGAGGGTGCCATGAGTCCAACCTCTGTATCAGTTCCATCATACTGTATAAGGGCTTACGAAGGTGCAAACTATAGTTGGATCAGCCGCACTAAAAATCAAGCTCAGTACCTTCATATGTTACATTAAAGGTCATGTCTTTTTCCCAGGTGGATTCCACACGCTGCACAGAACCTGCTGTCAGAGGGAACGTGGGGCAGCAGGGGCAGCATTACTCAAAGGAGATAAGACGAGGACATGCATGTAAATGTCTCATCTTTCATGGTGATCTTTCAGAATGAATGTGGATACCGGGTTGGGAGGCAACACATGATGAGCTGGTTTATTTTTTGGGAGTCTCCAATGTGAATACGGATCTGCCAGTCAGATCAATTTACTGTACTGTTGTTGGAGAAAAGCAGAGGTATGGTAGAATAATCACTTTAAGTTAATCTTGGGTACAGCTGAGGTCAATCTACAGACGTGACTAAAAAGGCACTTTAGTGATTACAAGCGACAGATTTAGAAAAGAATAGTCAGCAGCACAGGCTTTTAGCCTCAAATATGGGTCAAACTTTAAAAACTACTACACCCATATACTTCCCACAATGTAACTAACAGCATATTTCCATTACACTCTTCCAGCCTGGTGAATGCAAATGTCTTTTGAGCTCCATGCTGTCAGCTTGTAACAAAGATAATTTTCAGCTGGTATTGACATGTGTTTTGGTGATCCCAAAGCAAGTGGACAGCTGAGAAACATTGCCGTTCACACCTGTGTCTATCCATACTCTTGCTAGCTGCTCACTAGTAATGTTGGCAGTTGTATCGGTGCAGCTAGAGACGTGGGCAAATTATGAGACAATGGGCCTCTTGGCACAAGTCACACAGACTTTATGAATATCTTCCCTCTTTTGGTGTTGTTTTTTTTAATCTCCTTTGTAGTTGAAATGCATCTTTGTGTGGTTTTGTGTCTCTTTCTGGTCATTTTGTGGGGGTTTTTTGTGTTTTTTTTTGTCTCTTTGTAGTCTCATTACATCTCTTTGTGGTTGTTTAGCCCTTTTTTAGCTACTTTGTGTCTTTTCACAGATTTATTTCAACTCTTTGTAGACGTTTTTGTTTCTATGTGGTCACTTCAGGTCTCTCCCTGGTTGGTACCTGTTAATTTGAGCAACATTTTGCAGGTGAAGGCAAAAGGGGGCTCTGGAACTTTGGACCTCTAGGCCTTGGCCCAGTTGGGCTGTTCACTAATGCATCCATCTATGACTGGAGATATTGCTGTCAGCAGGATTCAACACATCTCCTTCCATAGTGCAAAACGATGGACGTTCTCGCAACACTTTGTCCAACTTTTCATGAAATGGGGGAAATATAGAGCAATAGCACACTGTCACCAAAACAACCACAAAATCCTGCATTGATAATAAAGCCCTTGTTGGGGATGTATTTGTGTTTACACTATTCAAGATATGTGGTCAAGTGAGTCCCAGACCACCTCAGCCAGGTGAGTGAACAGAACACAATGCATCTTGGTGGTCTTTTACACTTGTATTTACCGCCATCAATTTCTCATTGGATCACCTAAGACGCATGTCGATACCAAGTGTACATAGGACCATAGGTTCTCTTTAAAAGATCAGCTGGTCCAAGTTCAATCAAAGATAACAGCAGATGATATTATCAGGGTTATCAGTTTAGTTTTGACAAAGCTCCCCAGACCCCCAGAGGACGTAACACAACTGCTTTCACAGACACAGTAGAAATCTCCATGACTGATATAAAAATAAAATCAGTTATGTGGCCATTTATGTATTGAGGCTACTGCACTTGAAATGAATAATAACCCTGGACAGGTTAAAGAGATGATTACTTTGATAAAGTTCAACCTCTTATTTAAAAGTTCATAAATAACTTAGAGGACCCTTCATTAGAGAAACTAATTCCCCACATCTTACTTTTTACTATGGCCTGTTTAAAAGTCTGTGCCTGCTTACTTTTCCATGCATGAGGAGGCGGATGGTAAGGGTGACATTGAGGCCACCCTCTGACTGGACTTTGGTTGGCTCCATGCTGTGAGGAAGTGAGAGCAAAGCACCGTCCTGGAATGGGATGTCCTCAGAAGGAGAAGGAGTAGCGTGGTATTCCAGCCAGCCAGTCACCTGCCAAACACACAAAAAACATGTCATATGTACTAGTGTATATATATATATATATATATATATATATATATATATATATATATATATATTGGACACATCCTTAAATTCCCCCCCAAGACTTGTGCTGAGTTGTATTTTAGGATCCTTACAGGTCACCACACATCTCATGCTACAGCTGATAATTTTCCCAGAAATGTAGGACTAAAAATAAAACACTGTATTGGGAAGTCTGCAAACACAGCACAGTGAGACATCACTATTATGAGGTCCACATGATATTTGCTCCATGAATGATACATAATTCTGTAGGGTAGATCCACAGACAACCCAGTGTAATTAGATTCAGCTCCCCTAGGTTTTTGCTGTCTCAAAAATTAATAGTAAAAATTAAAACTAAGTAACCAGCTTGTTTGGATTTTAATTGGACAGTTCACATAACAGGGAGCAATTCGTCTAACCTTTTGCATGGTAAATATAAGAATACATTGGGGATGCTCAGTGATTTACAAATCATAATAATGACTACTACAGGGTCAGAAATGTTTGTTTGTCACAAAAGATTGTGCTAGAGGTGGAACTAAATGAAGATAATGAATGCATCAGCTAAACTCCTGAAAATGAATATCTCTGTGTAATAATGTTTATAATAATGTTCACTAGAAGGTGCAGCGCGATGACTTGCAGAATCCATAGTGGCAAAGTCTTCACCGGTAAAAGGCTCTTTCCTATGAGTCAGACATTAAAGTTTTCCTCCAGTGCTCTCATTACAGTTCGTCAAATTACTTTGCTCCCCTTTGCCTTAGCAACTAAGGCAAAGGCAAACAGGACAGTCTGTAAGCATGGATGGCTCTGCTAAAAAAGAGAAAGTTACCATTTTGTGTATAAGTTTTAAGAACTGACCCATTGTTCTGTTCAATGTATTGTGTTCCCTTACTACGTCGACACTATGTATATTACAGAGTAAACTGTACTAATTTGAGGAATAGTTTCTGCACGGTTGGCAAGTTATGTAAACAATATTAATAACCTACTAGACACCTTCGCTTTAGTTACGACACTGCAAACTTCTCTTAGAACAGACAGACGGATCTTCCTGTTGACACTTCCCAACCCAACCCAACGCCCCCTCCAAAAAAATGAAACAAAGTTTTAAAAAGTGGTGGGTCTATGGTTGTAATGTGTTCATGGGTGAGTGATCATCACAGTCAGAACATGCTAGAGCACTGATAGGTATGGTGGAGGGGAGTTTATGTGGAAAGCATTAGACTAGCCAAAAAAAAGTAATAGCTATCCAGGACATAAGACAAAAAGAGAGAAAAAATAAAGAGTTCAAATTTGCAAATTTACACATACCATATTCTTTTATTGTTTGATATTTATTGCTATTGTTTTTCTTCTAATTAGCCCTTATTCTGATTTTTAATAATTACAATGAATACAAAAGAAAATCCATAGTGTGGGGGCTTGCCTTGGGCCCTGAATGTGCTAGGTCCTGCACTGAATAGATAAATCAAGTCGTGTGAATTTAAAATTCTGCAGTGCCATGTGAAACAGAAACTGAATTCACTCTCATTTAAAAACAGTATCCCCTGTGGTTTGAACTGCTTTCCTTCTGGAGTTGATCTCTAATGATTTGGTCATTGACAGTACATACAAAAAGCATTATCTAAGCCTTAATTTCCTCATACACTCTGTTGATTTTCTGCTCTTATCACTACCTGCGCAAGTTATCATTTAATTTTCTACAGATATCAAAAGGCTCCAGAGAATTCTCATAAATCTCTTAGTCTGCTCAGTGGATGATATTTTAGCAAATTCTAATATCTGTCCAGACACAACCTTAGGCTACTGTTGTTTTTGTGCTCAAACAAAAAGAAACTCTCACCCCGTCTGTATCTCAAAATATAGACTTCAGGCAAAGTTTGTAGTTATAATAGTTGTTTTTAAAATTGATAAATATTTTTTTCCTTCAAAAGGTGCGTTTGGCAATTATCTGTTATAGGCAACAAAGAAAAGATGGTAAAACAGCACCCTGTGGTTTACGAGGCAGAGTTAATGTCAGTTAGAGTGAATGGTAAAAGCAGTCATGCTTACGCTACTGAATTTTGGTGGGACGCCAGGTGAAGCTGGCCACTTGAATTAATTAACTGACACGAAATGTCAGTCCAGCTGTGAAACTGTGAATGGGCTCAGAAAACTGTGAACAGGCTCAGGAAATTGTGGAAAAATGTGAAATGAAGTTAGCCATGCAACGCAGCAAGTTGGAAATGAAAGAACCGTGAAGGTGAGCTAACGGGTGTCTTATTATGATGATATCAGCTAGCTTATGCTAACTATGCTAACACCAACAGTGTTGCAGATAGCATCAGTGACAGGTGGACTGCTGGACTTCTAGTGAAAAACAACGCCACAAAACTTTGCAGCAACTCCTCCATTGGGATATTAACACCAATGCAGATGTGAATATCAATCAGTTGGCCTCAATGATGAACCTGAGAATGACCTTCCCCTGAATATCGAGTGAAACAACTGTAAATAACGCTCTGTCTGTCTCTTGCTACTACCACTACACGTTCAGTGGCACCAGGAGGGGGCCATGGCAACCCTGGTACAATTGCTGCTACACAGCAAAACATTACTGTCTCTGAGATCCTGTGGTAGGCCCTTTTTAGTCTAGCGAAAAGATGGTGGCAACGACAGTGCTATAGACAACCTAAGGCTTCCTTTTCACAACGGACATATTGACTTGTCATACCAGAAAATGCACAGGTGAAACCAATAACCTTAACGATGGCTCGGTTCACAAGCAGTTACGTCAGTCGGAGACCTCCATGTGGGGAAGACAGACAGACGCTCGGTCCGAATGCAATGATTGGTTGGAGTTTTCTAAGAACCATATAAGAATGGTATAATTTAAAAAAAAAAAATCCAGATAGGTAAGTGTTGCTTTAAGTGCCCCAGTAAGCTGTTCCAGTGAGCCAACATGCACATTACCATGGCCTGTCTTACAGCTATTTGTAATCTTATTAAACACAGATGTGCTTTTCCTACCATGGCCTGTCAAAATGTCTGCAGTGAAAAAGTTCTATTGGTACCAACCACAGGGCTGCCCCTGACCAAATTGGGGCCCTAAGCGAAATTTTATTTGGAGCCCCCCCCCACCCCACCTCTCCCCATCCCAAATTTAATTTAATTTAATTTAATTTAATTTAAGCGTTTATTTGGAAGGGACAATGCATATTGATGAACATCAGTATAAATACATCTGTAAATATGCCAGAGTTAGCAGAACTGCTAATTTACTTCCATTTGTTGTACTGTATCATAGGTACAAAATGACGGTACAAAAACATGCCATTTAACTTGACAACCTTTATTAGCACTAACAAATGTATTGTAGATACAGGAGTTTGGCTGTACGAGTCAAATAAAATAAAAAATTCAAGCTGAAATAAATAAATAAATATTAAATAAAAATAACTTCAAACTGAAATAAATAAATAAACAAATCTGAGTCACAAACAACCATCAATTACTCATCAAAAGAAAGTAGCCACTTTCAAAGGGATCTGTGGAATCTCACCTGAAGATATATGCATGAAAATGGGTTTCATGGGTCCACAAGTCTTAATTAAACATTTTCTTCCTAGTAAATGTTGTGTAAAATCAATGTCTATCCTCAAATTAAAGCTGTAAAATTGTGTTTTTAATGAAAAGGACAACCAGCATATTTGAAGAACACTGAATCGCCTAACACATGTACAGATACATAACATATTAAAACAGGATTGTTGAGGAACTCTGAGTGTATTCGTCTATGCACATCAGATAATTAGGAATATAAGTTATACTGTAAAGTAAGAACCAAAGTATATCAGTATGTGAATTCCTTAAGTCTCATAATGACGACTAACCTAACCTATAGCCTAGAGTACTTAACCATCATAACTGAATTCCTGAAATTCAGTTATGACTGCGTTTTGGTGTGCCACACCGAGATTTTTAGCCGCCCCATCTGGTCACCACTATAAAAAAATTCTGGGGTGCCACTGTATCAGTTCACTAACAGAATTGGGTATAGGAAGTGTTGAGTTTGAAATGACGATGCGATGCGATGCGATGCGATGTGTTTACTTTATAAAGACAACGGAGTGGATAAAAGTAAATATATAAACACACAGAGGGATTAATAAATAACAGACCGTCTATAATGTAGTCTGTTTCAAATGAAGCTGGGAGCCTCTGCAGTTGTGGTGAGTAAAAGCCCCGCAGCTATTTGTTAATGTTATTACTTTATGTCCGACCGTGAGGATGTACCATTGTTTGCTAGCTTGATGCTAATGACAGTAACGTTAACTGAGCGGGTTGACAAAGTGCCTCTGCTGTTTCACACCATCATTTCCCCCTTTTACTCTGTGTGGTAACATCCCTAGAGGAAATATTAAAAACGCTGGGGTGTTGTTGTCATACAGTTGTCTACAGCAGCAGATCGTTCTGTGTTTCTACTGGTCAAAGTGAAGGCTGTGATGGGAGAATTGGATCTCAGTGAAGGGCAAGTGGTCCATAACTTTAATTTTGGAGACAAAAAAATGTAGGCTTAGCGCCCTGTGGTCCATTGACCAAAAGGAAATGTAGAATACTCAAAAATACTTTAAAAGTGCTTGAGTTACTTTTCTCAGGGAGTAATGTTGGAAGTACTTTAAAAGTACTTGAGTTACTTTTCTCAGGGAGTAATTTTGTGAAGTTACTGGTTACTTTTCAAAAAAGTAACACAGTAAAGTACTGATTACTTTTAAAGTAACCCTTACCCAACACTGATCAGTAAGTATTGGTTAAGTGTCCTGCCGTGGCTTCATGTGTTCACTGTCTGTGTAGTTCCTGACTTTTATGAAGGGTTATTGCTTGACTGTACAGTAAGGAGTGTTGCTGAACTTTTGAATGTGCCTTTTTTACCATGGTGGACAGGACCGACCTAGTCACTGTGTGTGATTGTTTGCAGA